TTATTTCGCACATCGTCAATATATATTAAGAAAAAAATTATTAAAACTGAATTTATAAAATCTGAATTTTTTTCCGTAATTTTATTATCTTTTTTCTTTTTACACATAATTAAAGTTTCTTCATAATATAAAATTATTTACCCAAAACTATTCATCATTGTTTAAAAAATTATTCATAAAAACATCGGGTATAAAGAACGTTTAGAATATATTTAAAGTTAGTTTATTTCTTATTTCTGTTTATTTCTTGTTATTCTGCCATCGTGAAAATGACAGTTCGACAAGAAATTTATGGACGTCATTTACTGCAGGGTTGGTTTTGTCGATCTATGCACTTGCATCTTTCTTGACAAGTCTCGTATAAACTTGTCAAACTTCTCGACATCGCTAACAGCTAATAGACGAAAGCGGACATCGAATAACGATAAGAAGTTTTGATATTGATATAATCTGCTTAATTAACTTGAAGTATTTATTGAAGTTAATCTAAAATAGATTGATTTTAAAATAATTCATTAAATACATTGAATGATTTTTAAAATAATTCATTGATTCATTGAAAATGCTTTGCAGAATTTTTACAAGAATTATTTCAAATATGGTATTTTTGCAGATTTCGAAGTAAAAGTTGCGCAAACTCATAATTTATAAGTTTCTTTTTATATATAAAATAGATTTGAATAAATTGATAAGGATGATACTCTTTTGAATCTCTTCGATAATGAAGCAAAATATAAAATTTGTAAATAATCAGTCAATTTTTTTATGAATAAATATATTGAGTTTTGTTTAATTATTTATTGTGATGTGACTAAAAGATACTTTATATAAATTCTTATGCTTCGTTTTTTGAAATGTTATTTAAGTAATGTATTGTATTATGTATATGATTATCCTGCTTATTATGTCGATTTTTGTTACTTATGACTCGCTATTTCTGTAATATTTATAGAGATAAGTAACGTTTCTGTATAGATAATAATTCAGATCTAGTAATAACATATCTCTATTTCGGGAATCTTATTGTGCGATATAACAATCGATGTATTTTCCTTAGCGTCATAATAATCAGTTTGATGATCCGTCTCTCGTAAAATAAACCATTTTCCGTTTATGTTCAAAGATGTTTCTCTATTTGTGCTGATTTGGTTGGTTTCCAATCATTTTTCTTATTATCTCTCGCCTTTACGCATCCTTTGAGTAAACTGCCCTGCGTACGCTTTTTCCTTTTGTCATGGATTCTCGTTTTCTGAAGGGGAAGATAGAAGGGGCTCTTAATGGTCAACACATAGACCGGAATGACAAGATATATGTGCTTTTGTGAAAGTTAAAACCTCATGAACATTGGAATGGGGATGAAACTGTCTGTTCTGATCTTTCCTGTTCTGGCGACCTTTTCTTATCCCTTTTTTTTCGTTCAGTAAGAACACGATTCTCGCCTTTGTTTCAGCAAAGACCACATTGTGGAGAACCGTTAATAATTCGCGACGGTTTTCTGAATAATTAACAATAAAGGTTTGTTATTTTAATTTTTACTTTTTATTTATCGCAACTGATGTTAGTAATAAATAAGAGAAGAAATTTTTGTTCTTTTTATTTATATTTTATTATGCGTAATTTTCTATTTATTATTAGATATAGATTAAAAATATTTACAATTTTATTGTAATATTATCCTGTGCACTAAACTTCGATTTAATGAATGTAGATCTCAATGATTAATTAATTTATTTACAAATGATTGAAATATTTTTAACAACACAATTGATATAGTTATTTAATAAATATGTAATAATTAGAAGAATTATATTTGAAATTATAATTGATTATTATATAAAATATATTATAAGATTTTTAAAAATACATTTTCTGTCGCAAATGTTACCAAATAGTAAAAGAATTATGCGTTTATTAAAATGTCATTAATTTTATTTTGTCAATTATGTTTGTAGAAAAAGATTATATATGGAGTAGTAGTACATATAGTTTTTCCTTTCACTTATATAATAGATTTTGAAAATTAAGAATTTTTTTTTTGTGGGAACGCGAGATCTTTTTATAAGTTTTGTATAAAATATCTTATCCGTAATACACTGTTTGTCTCCAGAGGCAACAACATGATCCAATCAGTAAGTGCGTTACTTGTTGCGAAACGTGTTTATTCAAGTAACGAAGAAACTCGCGAAGATTCTCCATTTATCAAAGCAAACTAAGTAAAATAAGAGGAAAGAAATATTCATGGAACAAAGTAAAAATATAAAAAGTTATGCATATTGTGATCTCGTTAAATTCTTTGCAATATAACATTAAATTTGAATTAGTACTATCCTTGAGAAAGTCAAGTTCTTTAAAGAGAAAATGAAAAAATAAAGTTCGGAAGTCATTTCTGAAAAGTTTCCAATTTCTCGAATCCACATTTCTTAAAATGTATTCTGCATGTTTTCATCATTTTTCATAGGAAATGAAAAATAGTTCTCATTTTCGTTATTTATGTGTCTTCTGCAATAATTAAATTTTTGAAGCATTTATTCTGCATCGAGGTAAAAAGTGACATTTAAAAATAATAAGAAATTTATATATTAAATATAATATGTATATAAATTTATATAATTTTTGTGTATTTAATATATGATTTTATATATTTATATATAATTTTATATTAGATATATATAAATT